GGCAGGCGCAGTGCCACTGAGCTAAAACCCTGGCCCTCATCCTTCATTTTATTTATTTTTATTTTTTATTTTTCCTTCATTTTAAATAAAACAAAAATAGACAAAAGGTAGGCAAGGGAAATAAACATTTATTGAGCCAAGCACTGAACTGAGTATTTTGAATAATTACATAAATAGAAATATAACAATCATATTACACTGGGATGTCCAAGATTTTGTTTGGCAAGCATTGTCTTTTGGCATGCAGTAAAAATGAAGATGTAAGAATAGCAGTTAGCATAATCTCCATTCTTCTGAGAAAGATTTAACTGTCCATACAAAACAGAAGGATGCAAATGAGTAAATCCTTGGAAAAAAGGAAGCAAAATGTGCAATAATCAAAGGTTTACAAAATTAAAAATGCAAGATAACAAATCAGATGACTAAAATTCTTTAAGGCTAAAAAGGAAAAAACCAGATGTTATAACAATAACAGAAATGAGCTTTAAAAATTTAATTGAGATTATTTCTTATAAATGGCTGATGTTTCCCATACCATAGTGTATTTGATGGCTAAAGTGAAATAAAGAAAAGATTTATTTTTAAGGGATATAGGGAAATTAAATTGTATTCCTGATTATAGATCTGTTAGCAGCAAACACTCTTCAAGAAAAATTGTTTCAGCAACACACATGTAAATTTGCTCTTCTTCAAGTAAGAAAAAAATAGAGGAAAGGTAATCAAGGGAAGTAAATATTTATGGAGTTAGGCACTGAGCTGGGTATTTTCAATAATCACATATATTTTCATGGCTTTGGGTAACCACCCTGAAGTAACTTACAAGAAATAAACTGATACTCTGTGATTTTTAAAAATCTGATGACTATATATTCCTTCCGAACTTTACTCATCAGCCAGTTTTTCTGAATAAAAGAATAATAATGTAAAAAATGGTTACTCAGAAAACAACAAAAACCTGCAAAGTGGTGAATTAGAAGGTGTATTCTATTAAAAAAAACTCCAGCAACATATTGTAACAATCACTTCTGATTTTCCACTTAATGCCAAGGAATTTTGCTTGGCATTTTCTAGAGAAAAAGGAAAAGCAGAGGTAGTGGCAGCTTTGATGACGTCGAACCTTGCACTATGGCAGACTTCACTTCAGTATGGCTTTTTGCAGGACACATACTCACTCAGTGGGCTAAGTCTAGATTGCTTTGGTTTCCATATGAGACTCTTAAATTGTTTCCATGAATGAAGTGCAAAAGCCAGCCTATGATGCAAATAACATACATGAAGACTCAGGAGTCTCACGAAGCAAAATGGGGGGAATGACATTTAAGCAGCTGTTGGATTGTACTTTAAACACATAGCTCCCAGATCAGCTGTACAACTGCATATACTATTTCTAGACAGAATACAGAAAAAATTAGTACATTCACAGTTTCAACAAATATATTATTACATTTTTTTAGTTTTGTTTTATAGACATAGACACAATCATATTGAAATTATATATGGATAAATTGTATCATTAAATAATGATTTTCATTTTATTACATGATGAGTTTCATGAAGATTATATATTTTAATGTGACATATAGCATTTTTGAACACATAAAACAATATAGTGTAAAGTAATATAATGGTTTCTTTAAAGTGAGTAATGTCATATGACAAATATATATGTCACTGAAAGAGTCAAAGCATGAGATATAATACCTTTCTGTAAGCAGTTCTGAAGGAAGGTTATTAGGACACAGAGGGAAGGTTGTCACTTCAATGTTATTTTTTCCAGGAATTTTATAAAACAAATAATTTTTCAGAGGTATTTTTGCTATATAGTTTTCAATTTTAGATAATATGATAAAAAGATCCCCCCTCAAGATTTGCAAAATGTGCACAGAAAAACTCAGTATTTTGAAGTTTATTCAGGTGGAGCATAATTTGACCATACCTATTAAAAATTATTTCTGACATTACTGCTTTAGTTCCCAAAGATTTTAGTGTTGTTTTTCCTTTTTAAAATAGCAGCAGGTAAAATGTTAATTGATTAATAAACTAAGATTATCTTAGAGTCCCTCTGGTCATTGACCACACCATATAAACAGGTTATATCTTTCCACTGTACACATCTCAATGCTGTTTAAATTGAATTTAGGGCATAAGTCAAAGGAATTGATGTGGGCAGACTAGCTGCCAGCCTTTGGTGTAAATTAAATAGATCTCATAGCCATAAACTCAGAAAATTATTGCATTTATCATTTTCACTAAGATGTTTAGTGGCTAGCCTTGGCATTTATTAGCACTCTAAGATGCCCATAACTTTGGAAACATCCTATTTTCTTCTTTTGTTTTTATTTGAATTGAAATAGATTCTACAATGTCCCCATACCAAAAATCACCTTCCTGAAACACAAAAATTTGGAAAGAACTCCTGTTTGGTTTACAGATGATGTGTTTGCTAACCATGGAATAAATCTAGGTTGCAATTATAAATACAGTTTCTAGTTAGATCATAAGCTCTAAAATAATCACTATATTTTTGTTTCTTCTTAAGACTTCTAGTATCTAGTCAATGAGACAGCTTGGATTTATTGATGGCCTTTGATTTAACCAAATAATAAATACAGGCTTGAATCTTTGTTCATGCAAATTTCTAAATGGTACTCATGACCCTCAGCTTGGGCTTAGATGTATGTAGGGCTGACTTAATGTTTGACCAGTCCTTTGCAGGGCCAAAGTCATTGTTTATGAATAATTTTGTGTGTTGCAGGTCCTATGGTTGCTACTGTACATATTTGGCCCCTAGGAGAAGAGAAGCAGACAATCTACAAGGTATGTAAAGCTAAGAAGGAAAAGGAGAAACAAAGATATTAAATCTTCCAGGCTTTAAGAAATGAATCTGTTTTTCTCTGATGCATTTTTGCAGACACACTGACTCAAGAATTCACTGGTTAGGCCAAGAACATGTCAGCAAGTGACTGCACCTAGGCCTTTGACCTGAAATTTTTGATTACCTGAAGCATAAGAATTAAAGAAAGAGCTGGAAGTGTTAGAAATATTTTTGGCCTACTCACTTATTTAGCAAATGGGGACCAAAATTTACCAAATTTAAGCAAGGTCATATAGTCTGCTTAGTGGCAGTAATGTGATCTAGAGCTGAACATTGAGTACTCAGTTACTATTCTAATAGGGACAATATTGTGCTTTAGTCTAAAAGGCAGAAAAGGAAATTTGTTCACTGACGTACACACAGGCTTCATCAATGGCAAATCTATTTTAGCAACACTAGGAATGATGATTCAGTCATTAATATTTTTCCATCTGTGTGAGAAATTTCAAAGTGCACAATTGTCTTTTTCAGACACTGGTCTTTCAATGATATTCAGAAGTGCATCAGTGTTTTTAAATGAAGGTGGTAGGTTTATCCTCAAATCATAGCCAGACTCAATTTCTTATCAGACAAACTAAGTTACACTATTCACATTAGCTGTATGATAATCTAATTAAACAATATACAAAAACCATTAAATACTGTGCTAGTTAGCCCTTAGACTGTTTTATCATTCCCTTTCTGGCCTCCCTTTCATCATCTCTCAATTCATTTAAAAGAAATTCATATTAAGTATATATTAATTTTCACCCAATATCATTTCCTTGCAAAACAAAAACTTTAAAAAAAAGTAAAGGCACTTTTAAAAAACATACAAATCAGTTTCTTTCTTGTCTACTCTAAGGAGATAGGAAAGTTACTAAAGGCAAGGCCAACTCTTCCTGCAAGTGATGGGCAGCAGAGGGCAGCTGAAAAAAGAGAAACCCAGATTTCCTCTAGAGACTGTTACCTGGAACTCAGGTGCCTCTGGTTGCTCCTTAATTTGGGATTCACCAATTCAGTTGGGTCATCACAGTACAGGGAGTCAAACTACTTTGATCTTATATAGGCGGTAAGAGATCTATCTTTTCAGATCAAATCAGTTTGAATCTTTAGTCCATAACTGACTACTAGGATTGGCCTTAGGCACTTAGGAAAATTTAACATCTACAAAGATCAGTGACATGGCTAATAGTAACTTGTGCTTACATTAGGGTGCTCTTTGTACATTGTTCAAACTGGCCAGAGAACATTTTGCTCTTTGAATCATAAGCTCCCAGAAATCATTCATTGACTAAACCCAGGTTCCACTAACTTTATAACTTGAATATTTAACTATTTGTTTATAAAAGTATGACTTTTTATACCTCAGAGCATAAGGTTCCTTAAGTTTCTTAGGCAATGGTTATTTGTGAACTATGATCAATAGGCAGATATAAGAAAAAAGGTTAGAATAGTTTCTCTGGTGTGAGAAACTGAAAGTGTAAATAAGGACTAAATGTATAATAGGTCATGTGAAATAGGAAGAAAAGGGGCAAAGGGGAAGGAAGTGGGAGGGCTAGGGGAAAGGATAGAAGGGAATGGGATTAATATGAGAAAAGGGAAAAATAGGAACAAAAGCTTTGTAAATAGGGAGGAATGGAAGGGTTGAAGGGAGGGCTGGGCAAGGGTGAAAAATAAGAACCAAGAGAGACTATGTAAAGGTGCAAATTTCCAATGATGAATGTCATTATATTGTATACCTAAAATGCACCAATGATTAGAATGAATAATCGATAATTCAAAATAGGAAGAAAAGGTCCAAAGGGGTAGGGGTAGGGGTAGTGGGAGGGGCAGGGGAAAGGAAAGAAGGGAATGGAAAAATGATGAGAAATGGAAAAAATGGAAATAAAGTCTTTGTAAATAGGGAAGGGTGGAGGGCATGAAGGGAGGGCTAGGAATGGGGAAAAAATAAGAACCAAGATGCATTATGTAAAGGTACAATTCCCAATGAGAAATGTAATTGTGTTGTATACCTACAATGTACCAATAAAAGAATTTAATAAAAAAAAAAGACGAAAAAAGGTTAGAGGCTGCTGGACTAAGTGAGGAATAAACAAGACTTGCTTCCATTAAAGATCAATTAAAGAATCATTCCCTTTTTTTCTTTTTTTTTGGTACCTGGGATCAAACTCAGGACCTTGAGCTTGCGAGGCAGAAATGGTGCTACTGGGCTAAATCCCCGATCCTCATTGCCTATTTTGACATGTCTCTTTTCTGTTTTAGGCCTCTCATCTCTACGTATTTTCACACAATCTTAGAATATGATTCCATGCCTGAATAACTTATAAAATGAATGTGAAATATATTAAGACAAACTGGAGCTGATGATTTAAAAAGTGAAGTATGAAGAGCACATCACTAACGATTACTTTGTATTTCCATAATGAAGAGCAATTATTTCAATTATTTGATAGCTTAATTAAGATACAAGGCATTGGTTCAAATTATCTTTGTAGGAAAATATTCAGTGAGTCATGGAAGCAAGGAGTCAGAGTTTAAAAAGATCTTGGAGATTATTTGGTACAATGTTTTCTTCAAAGGAAAGCAAGATCCAGAAAAGAGAATTAATCTCTCCAAGATAAAACATTTAGGACTGGAATCCAGATCTCTTGACCCCTAGTATGCATTCTTCCATACAAACAGCTGTCTTCTCAATAGAAAATATTTTAGGCCATTAAAAAAAACCACCTCAAATAGACAGTGTTAGTTGATCATAGCATTGATAATATTGCAGTCTTGACTTTATTTAATGAGTGCTAATTGGTGATTTTTGGAGATTTGATTTGAATCTTTAGCCAGTCAAAATATTCTTCATATATGTAAAATTATGTGAAAAGCAGATTATTTTTAAGTTTTCAAGCTATAAGATAAATGTATATAGACATATAAATTTTATCATATTCATATAAACAAAATACCATTGTCCATCTTAGTCCACTAATAGATTTCTTTCTTTTTTTTTTTTTTGGCCTTCTTCTTATAGACAGGATTGTTCATTGCAAGCTGAACAGACTTGATCTGTACTTCCCAATAGAGGACTATTTGCATGTGGTAAAATAACCTTTAGTGGGAAAGCTCATCTAGGACAATGCTTCTCAGATTTCAGTGTGTGCATGAATCATCTAGATCTTAATGCAGATGCTGATTTTATAGGTTTGGCCTGGAGCCTGAGATTCTGCAAACAAAATTTTCAAACAGTGGCCAGATGATATCCATATAGTTGTTTCTCAGACACTGAGTATTAAAGATGTAGGGGATGGAATGAGTGTGGATAACTTTCCCTAATGGTTCCTTCGCTCACAAGACATTGTTTATAAACTACTGAGAAATACAGTTTTAGATCTTTTCTTTTGAAGTTCAGAAAGCATGGGCAAAGTATTCACTTTCAATCATCAGGAAACATCCATGTCCAGTTCCTATCAATATGGAGCTGAATATTTAACTCACAGAGTGAGCTCAAGTTCTCTATGTCTAGTTAGTGAGTGAAAGGAGAATGGATTTGTCAAGAAGTGAAATGGAAAATATAAGGAGGCAGTTTGAGCAGCAGATAAGCAATGGATGCTCCCATTAAAATGGAGATCCAAGCTTTGACCCTTCTCAAGGAGCCTAACCTTGGAACTGACTTGTAGATTCTCACTACTATACCTTGACTTTTGGAGATGTTCCTGTTGTTCTACAGATACCTGGTTTCCTGAACTTTTGCTTGGACACTTCTGATATGTGTACTGTATCTACCTCTGCCAACATTTTGCAAATAGATCTACTCCAGAGAGATACTAACTCCTGGTTTTTCTTAAAATTCTTCTGATGCCCAAGATTGTTAAGAAAAACAAAACAAAACCTAACAGATGTTAGAAATCACACTTTCCTTTTTTTATGGTAGCTTTATGAAGACCCACCCATTGATGGGCAGGAGCCCCAGAATAGCTCTAAAGTCACAGAAGAAATCACTTTTAGTCTGTGAAGAGTCCTAAAACCCCAGGTTTGTTGTAATGGTTGCTTCTTAAAGTATTTTGGACATAAAAAGAATCAAAGAATATAGTCCATTGTGTTGGAAACTGAATTTCATCATCTATTTCATATGGGATTTTACTCCACAAACAGGGACTGCATATATATTGGAAATACTCATTATAACCTTGTAGCAGCAAGTACTGTACCCACTGAATACATAAAGAGTTATACTGGGAAAATAGAAAATAGTCCTTTATTTTGCCTACACAATAGAAAAATAGTCTTCAAAAATACATTGCTAAACTTATGGGATTGTACTAAAGTAGAATTTGTATGTACAGTAAGGCAGTATTCTATTGTCATCCTGCTGTTATTCTTTTAACTTAAAGTTAGTCTTTTGGGAATTTTTTTCACCAAGAAAAGACTAGGGTATATAATAAATTATCTATCCTTCTGAAATGAAGCAGGAAAACATTTAAAAAAGATTCACCACATGAACTTCATTTGCCTCTTACATAAGAGAATTTTACTTTCGAAAACTATATTCTCTAGAGATGTTGGAATGAAATAAAGTTTAGGGGGAGAAACTCATGCCACATTCAAACTATCTTAAGAAAAAATTAGAGGTGTCATTTTACTTGCATATTAGCAATGTGTTAGTAAGGTATAGGAACTGGTGTAAACAACTTGTCAGTTGTTCTGTAATGTATTTTCTTTAAATGTGTTTTATTTGGACAATCCTAATAAAAATGAAAGAGTAGTGTAAAAGTTAGGCAATTGGTTTTCATTTTCTGTGTATCACCTTCCTATGCAAAATCATTTGATTGTTTCATTTCCTTCTGACACATACCAAACCATGAAAGCCTTTCTCAGAGGATATACCTTATTGGCACTGTCCCTCAAGAATATTAAGCAATGAGCTTTTACGTCATTGAACACATAATTTTTATAACTAATAGCAAAAAGTAAATCTACAAATCACGGTTAGGAGACAAAATGATTTGTTCTGGAAATCAGCTGTTAAAGAAAGAGGCAAGTGGTTGAACATGAAGCATGAAAAGGAGTGAAGTAGTGTTATTCTACTCACATTCTTGAACATCGGCTAGAAGATCATTTTTCATAACTCTGCAGTGTTACCTGAAGAAAAATCACATTTTTACCAATCATCCATTCATCAGGCTACCCATGAAAGGAATGCATGAAGCTTGCAGGATCCAGGTAATCCAACCTGTCCTGTTGGAGTCTGAAGTTGCTTGGTGTTGTGGGGAAGCAGGCCATGTCTTTCTCAGCTTGGTTCTGCTGAAACGATAGTGGAGCTGCCTTGGCTGATTCTTCAAATAAAGCTATGTTTTGAGCTCGTGGATCTGGCATTAACACTAGGATGTTGTTTTCCATAACTCTGGCCACCTTGGCATATTCTTTAATGATTTCTAGAGTCCTTGGCTTCTCTGTCTGGTCAATGCTCTCTTTCTGTTTTGGGGTCAGTGATAGTGCTCCATCTTTGTTGACCTTGTGAATCTCCACATAATCCAGGGGTTTAGCAGAGATAAAGGAGGCATTTTCCTGGGGTAGCATCCATGCTGTGTCTTGTCCAGTCTTAGAAGTGAAGCTTTCCACCTCCATTTGCTCCACTGCCTTTTTCTCCTCTCCAGTCTCAGTGGTTTTAGAGGATTTCAAAGCATCTTTGCTTGCTTTGTGTAACACAGTGGCCAGTGCAGCTCTGGGATCCTCAGCCAGCTTACAAACTTCAGCAATGCTGTGGTAAGGAGACCTGGGGTTGTGCTGGGTAGGCTGTGGCAAAGGCCAGGTTGAAGATCTGAATCCATTAGCATGGAAATAAAGGATTTTGTCTTTCGTGCTTTTGGTCTGGGGGTCCCAGGTGCAAGTAATATTTGCTTCCAGATTCTCTAGCTTCTTAATGACCTCAGGTGTGTGGAAAGTGGGAGGATTGGCCCAGGGTCCCTCACACTTTTCAGACAAAAATGAAGGGCTATCACAGCTTCCATGGCCAGAGTCATTGTCGAGATCCAGACGTCGAGATTTCACAGGTTGACCTGGGTATTCTTTTGAAAAAGCTGGCATTAGCTGCTGGTCCTCAGAGTCATCTACTTCTAAAAACTCAACCAGCAAGTCCTCAGAGTCAGAAGTGGGGGGAAAGTCTTGGCATCCAAAGGCACCAAGCAGTTCTTCAGTCTTGCCCCTCTAGGGGAACAAACACAAGGAGAGATAGCTGTTAGCTTTATCACATGTCCAGCCTGCATCACAGCTGAGTGATATCTGTTCATTACTTGAGCAGGGTAAGTATGGTAACAGCTTCACAGGACTTCCCAGACACCAGGCATTTGTGTACCAGGCCATCTATGATCACTTTCTGGGTACTATTCATCAAATACTTCTCTTTTGAGCCAACTTACGAATTTGACTTAACTTCTCTCTAAGCAATAATGATCATCAGTTTAATGGACAAGTAGTATACACACATACTATAAACATAATCAAGTTAAAAGAGCTTGGGAAACATCTGAGGCCATCGTGCTCACAATGCATCCAGCACTTTGGCACTCACTGGCAGAGCGTTTCTGGATTCACTGCTGGTCTTCTAACTTCTACCACTCTTTAGATCTGGTGATAAGTTAATTCTTGTCTCTTTCCTTTCCTGCTATTCCTCATCTTTCTCTCCTCCTCTTCCTGTTTCTTCTCTCTTCCTGTCCTCTTTTTTTGTATGCCTTCTACTCAATTTCCTCTCATTTCCTTCCTTCTCTGCCTCTTTTTCCTCCTCCTCCTTCCATTCTCTCATTTTGCCTATTCCATATTTTCTTCTCTCCTCTATTCCTCTTCCTCCTCATTTTTTCTCCCTCTCCTTCTTCCTCCCCTTACTTCTTCTCTTTTTTCTGATTCTCTGACTGAGGTAAGGTGCTGGTGCCTATGCCTTAGCTTTATCAGTTATAGAATATAGATGACTTTTGACAAGCTACTGTCAAAAGTACTGAATCCTAGCTTCTCCATTAAAAATGTGAGTAATACTACCTAGTTGAGAGAGATGTTTGGAGGATTAGAGATAATGAAAGGAAAAATATTACATTTTTTTCAATCCTCAAATTAGCTATATTGTCATTATATTTCTGAATGGCTAGGAGGTTGTGATGTGAGCTACATGGTAGTTAATTGAGTTAGATGAGGTACTAATGCTGGTTCTGTAAAGGTCAATGTTAGACTAGATAGTGGGGAAAGAGCACTGGACCAGGAGCCCAAATACCCTGCAATGATCTTTGCAATCAAAGGGAATTGCAGACAAATCAAATTCTCTGGTACTCACTTTTCAGATTCTTAAACTTCAGCCTTCCATGGGACGAGTGGAATTTGTTTTTATATACAGGTGTTAGTTTTAAGATCAATCACTATTAAGGTTAAGGTAAATTGAAACTCTATATTTGAACCTAGAGAGAAATTTAAAATATTCTAATCTCCCTTTTTATTCAAAACACATTTAACCTTTAATTCTCCTTTGGATCAATATAATGTGTCTTGGCAAAGACCAGCTTCCCCTGGACTGAGCCACTATTAACTGACTGCTGAAAAAGAGCAACAGGGGCAATAGAATATTCTATTACTATGGTCTTATTAAAAGAACATTCAAGTAATAGCATTTACCAATATATAGTGGTTGTGGGTCCCTGTTTTATATGAATCAAAATATTCGCCCTATTACTAAATTGATTATTTGATCCAAATGATTCTCTTATGAGCAGCCCTGGTAAATCTAGTAAGCATTACTATGTGTTTTTGTATTTTCTTGGGTTTCTCTCCATGCCCTCTAACTGTTAGTATCTGATAGTTACGACCCTCATCCCTCACACCTCTTTCTGTTAACGTACATGCTGAGGAGGAGCAGTAGCTAGAGAAGAATGATTACGAAGGCTAAGCTGGCTTTCTGGGGATCATGTGTGCATGTATAAAGTTAATTATTACACAGCAGTGAGTCACACACAGTCTGTCTTTGGCCCTTACCTCTAGCAGATGAGAATCAAATCCTTTTATTTTCGGCCCAGGAACTGGTGGAAAGATGCAGGTCATCATGCTACAAAATAATTTGAGAGATCAGATAATTGACTCATCTTTTCACTTTGCAACTTTTAAAAAATGACTTTTATCTCCAATAGTTGCTACATGAAGAGTTCTGGGGCTCTGTGAAACTAACAATAAGTGATGAAGATAATAATTAGAGAGACCTACGTTAAAATTTGCTCTGGCTAATTGAGGAAGCTGATTTTGAAGGTAGTGTTTTATTTAAATCATTTACTTTTCTTAATTTTACCTGCTCTTGCCAGATTCTTACTGTTTCACAATCATGAGTCTTCATTTGATGGAAAGAGTACCTGCTTCAAATGAGTTCATTTTTCTACTTTTAAAAATACTCAAAAGATTTTTTATGGGGAAACACACTGCAAGGTAATGGCTAAAATGAAATGCTGACTTATCTGTATGTTTCCTTAACCTTTGTATTATTGTTTTTGCCATTATTCTCGACAACTGTGATTGAAAGAAGGGGTGAGAGATAGTGAAATACCTGTAGCTCTTTAAAGCCACTGCCCAGACCATTACCAAACAGATGACAGCAGAGAGAATGGCCACAAAGATCCACATAGTTGTATCACTCATGTTGATGTCTAAAAAACAAATAGCCAGAAAGCTTTGATCACGCACAGTATCATTAAAAACAAGCCAATCTAGCCTATGCATGAAACTTTTGAACACAAAATTTTTTTCCATTGGAAAAAAAGCATGTCTTTTGATTTGAAGAGCAATTCAGAGTAGCATCAGTGACGGGTTTGCTTTTTTCCAATATTAATATTTTAATATGTTGTACATATTTTATAATACTCTACAAATTTTAAAATCCTTTCACATATTCTTTTATTTGATCTTTAAGGAAGAAATCCATGATCAGTTGCAGTAATAATAATAAAAGCCAACACTTACCAAGTTGTTAGAAAATGCCAACAATCATGTTAAGGTTTTAAAACACATTGCCTTGTTTTACAGGTGAAGAAATCTATGAATGGTCATGTATCTATTGTGTTATAGTCTGGAATGAGAATCCAGGCCTTCTGCTTCTAAACCCCGTGCTTTTATTTAGTATAAGCCAGGGCTGAACCAGATGCATGTCCTGACCCACAGTTGTTCAGTGCTCTTTCCAGTATGCCAAACAAATCTCTGATATTTCATCCAGACAAGTTGTGAGAAGAGCTAGACTTTGTAGTGTTGTTCTGGAAAGGCTCCTAACTTCACTGAGTTTTAGTTTCTTTTCATTCCTAATGGCAATTACATTTTCTCTGAATACTCAGGAGAGTTAGAGGTACCAAATGAGGTCAAGACACTGTAAACTGTAAGGTACTTTAGAAATACAAGATGACTTGCTCCCTTATAGATGCCACATACTTAATGGCACTTTGTTAGAACTGAAGGTCTCTCATATATTGTGCTTTGGCTAAGAGACCAAAATGAAATTCTTTGCAGAGACTAAATAACAGTTCATACCTTTGAGTTGATTCCTTATAAATTCTGGGAGAATTAGATGATGGTCTTAGCTAGACCCTCTAAATGATAGGGATGAGATGGACGTGGAGGACAGAATGACTAATTCTTAAATCCTCTGAGACACTCGAAACCCACACCTACAGACGATTCTAAAAACTGAGCCTCAATGACAGTGACTAAGGAATCCAGGGAGCAATGCAAACCCTTCCAAATATCTGTGTATTTGGTAAAGAGATTATAAACCTATCTCTGCTTATTCTTTGGCTAAGCCTCAAAATAATTTCTCTGTTAGTAGTAATTACATGCAAATTTACCATTTAAAAATGGTAAAGCAAGGAGTATAAGCAACAGGTAACCAGGACACTTACCACTAGGAATTTCAATGGAGGTTACTGGGCTCCACTTACTCCAGAATCCATGATCTGGCTTGCAGCGAGCCTGGACAAAGTATTTTTGTCCTGGGTATAAGCTGAGAATCTTAAAATGTGTCTGCTGCCCTGCAAAATGTACCTAAGGAGGAAAAGGGAAAAGGAAATCATTTCTGAATTTTGTCATGAAAAATGATATTTTCATTTAAATAATAACTTATTGGAAGCTTTAGGGTTGATGACTATACTTAGAGGATACTATGCTTTCATTATTCTATTCTACCTTTTCAGTTCTATCACTTTCTTTTTTAAAAAATTCTTTTATTGGTACATTTTAGGTATACGATACATATACATTTACATTCATCATGGGGAACTTTTACCTTTACATGATGTATGCTGCTTCTTATTTTTTCCCCATTCCCCTGCCCTCCCTCCAACCCCTCTAAAACCCACCCCCCCCATTTGCAAAGGCTTTGTTTCCACTTATTTATCTCACATTTTTTCCTTTCCCCTACCCCTCCCACTTCCCCTACCCCTTTAGACCTTTTCTTATTTTAAAAATTTCTTATGAAAAGGCCAGGGATTTAGCTCAGTGGTTCCAGCACCTGCCTCGATCCCCAGTACCCCTCCTCCCAAATTCTCACAAAAATTCAACAGGTTTTCTAATCTTCCAACTGGAAGGATATAAGGCCTCTGAAGTATGTGGGTTCAAAATTTTTTGGTCAGAATCTAATCAAGTCTTAGATCTAATGTCTGGTTGCAGAAAACAGAGGCAGAGAGATTAGCTCAATGAACCTATGAAGAACAAATTGGACAAGTGGAAAAGGTGAGTTATTCTATTGCTCAAGTGGCCCAGCCTTCTGAGTGCATTGAAACTGAAAGGAGATAACAACTAGAGACTACATGTTTCCTGAAGTGGATTCTAGTTTGGCAAAACAGTTGTTAGAGGTATTTTTGAAATGTAGTGAGGGGATAAAATAGATAAACTACAGACTGGCTATTTCATATTGTTAAAGAATATGAATAAATGTTCTCATGTGTGGTCTTATTATTTTGGCTATGTTTGGAAATGTTTCTTTTTAAAAGGAGACATATCGGAGATAAAGTATCATACTGCCTGTGCTATACTGTTATTATTTCTTTACATTGAAGTATCTTAAAGTATTTATTTACAGAGCCATTGACCATAGATAGATCACACTGGGATACCCACCACTTCCTGCCCTGGTGTAATTTATGTGCTTTCATGGATGTCAAGGTCTAAGATATACTTAGGAAGGTGGGTGGGAAACAGCAGGGAGAAAGCTGTGTAGTGCAAAGGACTATTTCTGGGAGAGCTGAAGATGAACCCTTTTCAATCGCAGTAGAGAAGAGAAGGCCTTTCCACATCTGATGGGTCATGGCTGCATGAGGAGATCGATATGGTTGTCCACTAATTGGATAAATGATCTGATCTCACTTGTGGGGATTCATTCTTGCTAAAGGACTGGTTCCTTTAAAAGGTTTCTGTTTGACTCACCTCCCACTCAGCTGCATTCTCGGGTTTTAATCGAACTTCATACTGTAGAATGAGCCAGCCAGACGTTATGTCAACTAGGGCTGGTGGGAACCATTTTATCCATAGATATGGTTTTCTGTCTTCTGGCTGTTTTACTTCCAAACTTATGTTCTGAGGAGGGTTTGGTTCAACTATAGATATAAAAGAAATTCCAGTTGCATTCATTGCTTGCACCTTTTATTTGGCTCTTCTATTTTCTATCATGAATTGCATTTATCATTTATTAGCCCGATCTTTCTATTGCATTGTAAGCTGCTGGAAGACAAAAGCATGCCTTCTCTCATGTTTACACTTCAAGATGAGGTTTGCATGGTAAGAGTAATATACAGCTGAGATTTCATTCTTGGCATATTCTTCGCTTTCCAACAGCTATGGTCAGATACAAACCCAAATCATTTGCATGATGGCAGGGATCAAATTGGACTAAGATTTGCAAGTGGAGGTTAGGATGGAAGATTACTGGGACGGATTTAGAATAGCTTAGTTTCCTCAGAGATTAAGCTGTGGAAGAGTACTGGGAAGGGATTTAAAATAGTTTGTACTCTCTTTGATCATTTACATGATTGTTGTGAACCATCTATTTATATTTACACTTTTGTAGGTAGAAGTTTACAGATTTCATCTTTGGTTTGTCAATTACATTTCACATTTAATATACATCTTACTTTCAATGGCTAATATAGTCTATTCTTCCAGATATTATATTATTAAAATGTGCCTTGAATTTGGGCTTTTTGGTGATGATACCTTTAAGGACCTCTTAATAGCCTCTTGGCCCATTCACTCATTCAACAAATGCTTACTGAATTCCTAATAGCAAGATAAATTCTTACTACATGCAAAGACCTACATAAAACACTATCCCTACATCATTTTATTCAATCCCTCCAACAACATCTTAGCATTCTACTAATTTACCCATTATACAGAGGAGGAAATAGGCTTAGTGGAGGAAAAATTGTTGTCTAAAATTACATATTTGGTGAAAAAAGATATTTGAGCGCTACAGAACAATATACTCTAGAGGCAGCTCTCCCTGGGATTAAGTTGAGAAAAATGAGGTGCTGAGATTGCCAAATTTGAGGCACAAATGGCCAAAAGCCTATAAAAAGATGCTCAGTGCCGTAAATCTTCTGGGAAATCCAAATCAAAACCGCAGGTAGCTACCATTTTATACCCACTAGGAAGGCTAGAATTTTAAAAAGTGAAAAATAACAAATGTTGTTGAGGACATGGAGAAATTGGAACCCTCACATACATTGCTGATGGAATGTAAACTGGTGTAGATGCTGCGGGAAACAACCTGAAAGTTCCTCTAAAATTTAAACATAGAAATGATATATTGCTCATTGGTTCTACTCCTAGATATATATATATATATATTCCTAAAAATTGAAAAGAAATGTTCAAGCAAAAACCTGTATATTAATGTTCACAGCAACACTACTTACAATAACCAAAGGTGGAAAAACTCAAATGTCTACCCACTGACAAATGGATAAACATATGTGTCTATAGTCACATGTTGCATGATCCATATAAATGGAATATCCAGGCTGAGCAAAGCTCTGGAAACAGATTAAAATCACCAGAGGCTGGGAGAGGAAGGCATAGGTAGTAACTGTTTAGAGGGTATGGAGTTTCCATTTAAGGTGATAGGCTTAGAAGGAAACAATTTTAAATAGCTTATTTCCCTCAGCTGGCAGCTGGAACTAGATAATGATTATACAGTGAATGAATGAATATAATGATTATGAATGAACGAATTCTACCAAGTTGCACACTTTAAAATGGTTAAGATAGTGATTTTGTTATGTGTGTTTTACCATAATTTTAAAAAATGAAGGAGACACAACTCAGGAATCTGAGTTGTACAGGATGATATAGAAGTGGATACTGGAGGGTCCCAGTTTGATTCTTCTTGTTGTGTGGCATTAGGTAGGTCAAGAAGACTTAGATGACTTTGGACCTAGTTAGCTTCACAGATTATTATTCAAGATAAGAATGAACCCAGTCCTGGACAAGCCATCTCTTGTTCTAGGATTCATTTTGTCATCCTCCTTAATTACAAAAGACACTGTAGTTATGCCCAGTTGCCCTGCAGCTTAATGTTGATTATGTAGAGCAAGGAAGAGCTCTCAGGATGTTTGTTCTATTTGGCTAACGGGTTCTCTAAACATTGTACTGTAATCTTGGCCTTCAGCCTGCTGCTCAAGTAATGTTATTTGCTCCCCAACTTTTTATTTGTAAAATAATAACGTAGGCTGTTAAGAAGTATATGCATGTTACGAATTGAGTTTGAGGTAAAGCAATTAGAGCAATTTCTGTGGATCCAGAGCCAGATAAACTTCTTCTAAGAACTGCTTCTTCATGAAATAGCTCTATATTTCAAAAGGAGAATGAAAAGAAATCTGTTTTTTAGGGAAGATGGGGGCATCAAGTGCAGTGTGAGGGCAGGAAACATACATAGAACATTTATGCTGGGCACAATAGGATGGGAATTAGGGTCAAGGGAAAGCATAAGAAAACAAGTCTTCCATGCCACACTTACTGTCATGAATAACGCAAGAGGAAAAATTAATTAGAAATGCTAGTTGACAAGATGTTGTGAATAATCTCATCTCTACTTTGAGGAATCCATTCATAAGCCAAGAAAACTCAAACTGGGTTTGAGTAACAAATTACGGAGTAACAAATCCTCCACCCACTGCTTTTCCCCTTACCTATGTAGGCCACATCCACAAAACGTGGATCTGAGGCATTGCTTCCCATGTTGTTAGTGGCATTTACTCTGATGACATATATTGTCCATAGGTTGGTATACTTCTTATTAAAATAACAGGAGTTGGGACCACTGGTATTATAGTCTGGACATTCATAGATGATATTCTCTCTGCAAGGAGTAAAATATTAGGAGTAAATAAAAAGTAAAAACCAGACTAGTTCTTTCCTTAAAAGATCAATACCACTGGCTTATCAGGCATTAAAAGTGCAAAAACTACAGGAGAAGAATAGGTCCCTGTGCTCTGTCCACATCAGCATGGAATGAGGAAGAGAATGAGGTACAAAAGGTTATTTTAGAGCCTCAATTTTTTCTGCTGCTCATCAATCCTTCCCTTCTCATGGCATTTTTTTGTGAGCTTTGTGGTACATGTTTCCTGCTAATAAATCTTTGAACTGTCAATGGCCAAGGCACTGCCATACCTAGGGCACTGTAATTGTGTCACTTCAGGAAATTGGGACTTTCATGTGGAGTACACACAGTAGGACCATCCACCAGGCAGCATCATTACACGTACATGTTAAATTACATTACAAAAGAGGATTCAGAAGGATCAAACCTAATGTCAATATACTTCAAATGGTATCAAGTCAGCAACAGAGTGAAGTAACTTTGAAAGCAGATATTTCAGCCTAAAGTAGCTCATTAGACTGCTTATATTTTGACCGAGGAGCCTCAATTCCAGATATACCACACAAGTAGAGTTTTATTCAATTTTGTTTACCAGTTGGAGTTTCTGAAATCTGTTTTCATGACACCCCTTTGGATTCCAGATGGGCGGACAGCTTTCTGTACAACGAAGCAGAGTCACTGAAAAGTGGACCAGCTGTCTCTACTAGAAATACATTCTTTCGTTTTTGGAGGTAAGATATAGCACCCCCAAGATTTCCAGAAAGGTCTCATTGTGAGTTTAGCGACATTTTCACCCAGAGACAATCTTCTTTAGTCTTTGTGACAGCATTACATCCAAATACACCCCCCAGGAGACCGTCACTCTGGATCAGGAATTTATTAAAGAAAAATCCTCACCACCTTTTTTTTTACAGTATTCTTTATTTTCCTAGACATGAAACAAATTTGAAAGCCTAATGTATCGTATTTGTCAAGGATTGTAGGGTATCAGTTTACATGGTAATCTTATGTTGCAAAAGTAACATATTTACCAAGAAAAAAATTATACACGGCACAAGGTTATAGATAAGAGATTATAGATCTGAGATTAACATTTAGGAAATATTTGTATGGGACATTGGGTTGCCCCATAAGCAACCTTGTGACAGGTAATTTGAAACACTGCTGATTTTGTATTGCTGCTGTGGCTGATGGGCTTATGTGGATTGAGAGAGTTTGTGAAAGGTGGGCAGACTCTCTTTCCTCAGTGGTATGAGCCTGATTGGTATAAATCCAGGGTAATGTGGTAATTATAAACCAGAACCAATGCTATTTTGGCCTGGAGTGTGTGGACAGACTTGTGGGTTTGGTAGGAGAGAAAAAATTTACCCTTCCTTGTAGTAAGTCAGTGTGTAATTGGTGGGAAGTCCTCCATTGGTTCCCGGCTTCCACCAGCATGTGAACGTTTCCTTTTCAGGAGAACGACATTTAGAGATGATAGGTTTTCCAGGAGGCGACTCTCCTAAAAAATAGCACAGCCACTGGAGTCAACATTGAGGTTTATTCCATCATTTGAGTCTTCCGCTGCTAATACATACTGAACACACCCAGGCCAGTGATGAATGAGGCCCCGGGGTCAATAGGTCTAGGGGCATGGTGTTCAGAAATGCCAAAGTGTCAGCCTCTGGTATCTCTTGTCTGTGGGCTCTACAGGTGTTGGTAACACACACACACACACACACACACACACACACACACACAGAGAGAGAGAGAGAGAGAGAGAGAGACAGACTTCTTTGGGGTGGTGGTGGATGTGGTTGTATTTTGAGATAGAGATATCAACAGCTTATGTGAGGACCAATGATTAACCAAAATTCAATGGAGAGTGAACCTGGGAACAAGATGGATATATGGGAATTGAAGAATCTCACAGAGTCTAGAAGGCCAATATTGTCCCATAATATAAAGATGACCATACAAAGAATTCTCCAGGTACAAGCAATCTGTGCATGCTTTGCCAATACATTGCCCTCTGGCACGTCTGCAATCCCAAAATTCCATTTTTCTGCCATCCCCTTTTGTTTGTTCACTGTTTTTTTTTTTTTTTGGTACTGGGGATCGAACTCAGGACCTTGCACTTGCAAGGCAGGTGCCAGAACCACTGAGCTAAATCCCCGGCCCGTGTTTGTTCATTGTTACACTGATGCTCCCTTTATCTGGGTGACTTTCAGCTCCTTCC